CTGATTCGTTTTACTCTATTTAGTCAAATTGGGTACATTGAGTAGTGTAGTGCTTTTAACGTTCGAAACGGATGTTTTTTGTGTGACATCAATGGCAAAGCTCCGTGCGAAGTTGCAGCTGTGATTCGTCGCTCTTGTTATGTTCATGAGCTACATTAAGATGAGCAGCTAATGCCTGGCCTGTCAGCGTGTTGTAGAAACATTTCGCACTCCCCCCCAAGACCCGTCACATTACCCCGCGCCACTCCTCGCTTCTCTCAGTTCACTTAAGTCAAATGTCTTTCCGACTAAAAGATTTTTTTTCCTCTTCAGCACGACGGCAACGTTGCCATGGCGACGCTCACTCCTTCGCCCCCTCCCTTCACGTTTTTCTTCTGGAGATGGTGCGTTGTATGTGTTTGATAAATGAGTCTATATACACAGCTGTCCCGCACTAAAAATACAACAAAAATGTTAGAAAATTATTCGAAAATGTTGGGAACCGATACAGCAATATTGCTGGTTGTTGAAGAATGGGAAAACTATTGAACATAAAGACAAAAAAAAAAAAAAGAAAAAAAAGAAACTGAGAAAAAAAACAAATACTTGAATTGACAAAAAAAACACAAAGAGAAGAATCACATATGTTTAAAAATAGCTGGAAATTGCACATAAAGGATAAAAGAAAAACTATTTTTAAAAATACATAAATCTAAAATGTTAAACATTTGTGGGGTGAATATTACGGAATCAGTATACGATACAAAAATATTTGGGAGAATTTTTTTTAAATAACTAAAGAAAACAAAACTTATATTTAAAGAAAATCTCCATGTCAAAGTTATATGCGAATATGAGAAAAAAAAACTGGAGAAAACAGTCAAAAAATATACAAATATTCACTGAAAACTACCAGTATTTTAAATGCACATTTGAGATATTACTGAGTCAAATGTCTTCATGGCTAAATGATTTCTTTCCCTCTTCTCGTCAGTGGGAATGTTGCCATGGAGACGGTAACCCCCCCTCATTTCCCCCCGCCTATATTTCTTTTCGGGCTGGTGCGTCATCGTGTGTGTGTGTGTGTGTGTGTGTGTGTGTGTGTGTGTCTATATCCAGCTCTGTCCCACACACTCACACAGATCCCCCATCCCCTCTTGGATTGTCATCTTCCGGTATCATTCCAGATTGCTCTTCTTCCTCGTGGCAATCTCCAGCTCGAGGAGGAGGTAATGACTCTGTTCTATGAGGATTCTATGAGGGGTTCGGGGGGCGGGGGGTGGGGGGTCCAGATGGAGGCAACGAAGCCAAGTCGTGCTTCATTTTGCATTTAGGCAAAATAAATGCCGCTACGATAAAGAATTCATGGCAAAGTGGCTGAATAATTACACACTGCTGACTTAATGCAGAGCACATTTGGTCGGTCCTGATAGACAAATATTGATGTGTGGTCTGTACAGTCAGTGCTCCTCTTCTTGCAGCATCCGACACATTGTATACGTACTGGATGTGTGCTGAAAGAGGCGATGATAGGGTGCCCGCCTCCCCAAAGAAATTAAAAGAAATCCTCATGCAAAAAACACAAAATTAAAATAGAAAAAATATATAAAAGTGTGTCTGTGTGTCTGTGTGTGTGTGTGTGTGTGTGTGTGTGTGTGTGTGTGTGTGTGTGTGTGTGTGTGTGTGTGTGTGTTGGAGGACGAACAAAGTTATTGCAAGATGCAAAATGTCGATGATGACAAATCCTCAAGTATGTGTGAAGGCACCACTCGGAAAAAAAAAGGAAAAATATTTAGAACGCAGGACAACATTTTTACAACGGGAATATCAAAAAAAGAATACAAAAACATTATTTAGAACATTTTCAAATAATATCCAAAAACACAAAAAAATAATTTAAAATATTAAATAAAAATTACTCTAATATTCTGTGAAAAATACACAAAAGAGAAAAAAAACCCATTCCAAATATAAAGTGCACAAATATTAGAAAAAAGAAAAATATTAGTAAAGGCAAAAAACAAAGAATCACAGAATTTTCCGAAAATATAAAATGATAAATACACAATATTTGCTCAAATTAGCCATTAATATAAAGAAAAGTATTAGATGAAAAATATAAAAATATTAGACAAAAATAATGAAAGGAAAATATACACAAAAAAAAACAGACAAAAACACAATATCCATAACACAGACAAAAATATTACATGGAAAAAAATACAGCAAAAAAATAAACAAAAATACTCGAGAAAAATACACTTAAAAATGGAGTGAAGGTACTTTTTGCCATGTTTTATATTATATAATACTCTTTTTTTTGGTCTTCTTTGTGCATTTGTTGGCTGCGAGTGTGCAGCAGCACTACACATGGCACACGTGTGTTGAAAGAAGTCATAGACGCCAGCGGGCTACATGATCTTTTATTTCCAATGGCATTGCTTCACTCTCCCAGGACTGAAACAATTGCTCCCCGGCTTCAAAAGAAGAAAACATACTTGAGAATAAACCCTTTTCATTTAAAAAATAATCCCAATTGATAAATAGGCATCTTAATTCTGACACAGAGAGAAAACACTTATTTACCTCGCGCATCATCATTGTGGTCATTAGTTGTGTTAGTAACTAGTTCATCAGTTTCTTTTCTCTCTTTTTTTTTTTAATAGCTCTGAGTGTTGCTTATGTCATTTTGCATCGAGTTGACATCATTCGTGTTAATTGAGAAGCATGCAGATCTCCATCGCGACCATTCACAACACAACAAGACAGCCGGGCGGGGGACGAGATGGAGGACAGGGAAGGATGATTGGTGAAAAAGGTAGACGAGAAAAGGGGGCGCGTTTAAAATGAGGCGGCAGCATGGTAGGTAGTTAAGTGGGGTCAAAATGAGCTGACGAGCGGATGCGAGAGGGGGCGCGTCATGGAGCCCTGGGACCGCCGGATCGATCATTTTTTGACTCGGGCAAAGCTGATCCATACTCTACAAGTCACATGACGCACACTCACACTCATCTCCATTCCTTTTACCGGATGAATTTAAAAACCCAAACATTTTTATTGTATTTTTTTGACCGTCGCCCGGGTTTTCGCATAGCACACAAAACAGCGAAGCACGACAGAGTTACACGACACCGGGAGGGAGGAAGAGGGTGGGAGGCCAGAAGGGTTTCATGAGGTGGTGAGAAAGAGCGCCGTTACACAGACTGCAAGATCAGTCAGGTGAGCAGTTTGACTGTATTTTAAAAGCAACTCCAACTGTGCCTATAAACTGCCACTACTCGGTGACCGTATGGCCCTGCAGTTCAATTGGAGTGGTTTATGGATTATCCCGATCTTGAACGAGCCATAATTTTTACTGGTCTTTGAAAGACGGGTGAGCGGTCTTTAAAAGACGGGTGAGCGGGGCCTCCGTTCAGAAATGTAGTTTTACTGGATTTGAGTTTGGTGGTCCCCTTCCCGATTGCCCATTTAATTAAAGAGGTGTGTCCCGATACTTTTGCACCGACAACTACGCTCCAAAGGAGGAGGATCCCTGAAGGACAATTGCTGAAAAAGACTCCAACACTCTGTGGCTATTGTCCCTTTGGAGAGCTCCCTTCCTTCCAGCGATTACATGACAGATGGACATGACCATCTCACTAAATTGCCCCCGAGACACAACGTTGCAAGTGAAGTGAATTTAACCAGGAAGCCCCACAAGTCCTGAATCTATGGGATTTATGTGGGGAAAATAGCGCCTTGGTAGTGTTGGGAGCCAAATCCCAAACTAAAAACCCTTACCCATGAAATGTAAGTGTAAAAACATCACCTAACCTTAAACCGTGTGGCTAAGTCTCCGCCCCCAAAACAACTTGTAAGATGATTTGTGTGAAGCTGCACTCCTTGCCAACATTCATGTTGCATATCCCGATTAGAGTCAATCTTCTAGCCTCCAGAGAAGCCCGAACCATAACCATGTGGGAAAATGTCACATTGCCAACCCAGTTTCAAACCATAACCTAAACCCTAGCTCAAATCCAAAGCCGGTTTCGGTCCACGGAAACGTCCGTGGTCCACGCCCCTTGATGGAGTTGAACTCTCAGCCTCCACAGAAGCCCGGGCCCTATCCCTCAGCCCAAAACTACGGAATTCATGTGGCAAAGCATTTTTCCTGGTGGAGTTTAAGCAGTTCATTCATTCATTTTCGATCCACATTTCCTCACAAGGGTCGCGGGGGTGATGGAGCCTATCCCAGCTGTCTTCGGGCAGTAGGCAGGGGACACCCTGAACCGGTTGCCAGCCAATCGCAGGGCACACAGCAATGAACAACCATTTGCGCTCACACTCACACCTAGGGACAATTTAAAGTCTTCAATCAGCCTGCCGTGCATGTTTTTGGAATGTGGGAGGAAACTGGAGTACCCGGAGAAAACCCACGCAGGCCCGGGGAAAACATGCAAACTCCACGCAGGAAGGCCGGAGCTGGAATTGAACCTGGTATCTCTGCACTGCTAGGTTCGATGCGCTAACCACTGGACCACCGGGCTGCCTAGTTTAAGCAGTTGCAACCCAAATTCCAACCTTTAAGTGATTGCCCAACTTCCGTTTCATATGATGTTGCAATGTCGATGTTCTGCCTTCTGGATAGTGTTCGCACAACAATATGGCTCCTTATGATGTGAGACAGAACTCAGAAGTTTGCGGGTGGGCGGGGGGTGGGGGGGTACAGTCAGACCAAGACGAAGTGGTGCAGGGAGGGTATGGGGAGAAATGATCACAGCAGGAGGTCACTGGGACACACAGGCAAACGTATACACACACGCACACGCACACACACACACACACACACACACACACACACACACACACACACACACACACACGCACCCACACAAGTACAAAACAAACACACCAACGAACACGGAAACACACGGATAAAAGCAACACAGACGTGTGCCACGTGTCACTCGATGATTCTAAAGCTCGTGATGGGAAAAATTCAAAGCATAATCCTTTTTTTTTTCCCCTTCCCCTGGGATGCATCCGCCAGGGAAAAGTCGGACAGTGTTTTTTGGCGTTCCTCGCATTCCTGGTACCAAACTTGACATTGCTCCGTCCCGAGAATGTTAAAAGAAGAAGCCATGATGACGACCGGATGCGTGAAGAAGACGGACACAAGGTAACGTGCTCAGGCTACAGTCAGTCCTGTCCTGGCTCCTTTGACATCAATGAAGACCACGTTGGTCTTCCTTCCTCCTGGGCTCGGGTGCATCAAAGGCCTGCAAGGCCCAGTGAATCCAGCAGGTGCCGCTACCTTGTATGATACGGTCAATCTTCTTCTCTGAGAGTTTATACAAGAGATTTGGTCCCGCTCCAGGTGACCCCCCTTGAGGATGGCTTAATTTTTGAAATGTATTTTTTTTTTTTTTTTTTTTTAAGAGTTTATCACAGCAAACGCCGCCTAGAGCAAATACTACATATCAACTACGCCTAGACAGCAAACTGACTGTGTGTTGGTGTGGTTGTCTCCGCTGCTGCGTGGTCGTCGTTTGATTTTTTTTTTTTCGTTTTGTTTTGGTTTGTTTATTTTTGTCGACGGATTGAGCGGAAGCACAACAACTTCGAGTGTATCTCCGAGTTTCTCTTTGATGGAAAAAGAGGTGTATTCACAGATGAGAGGAGAGAAAAAGGAAACGTCTGGAGGTGGAGAGACGGTTGTGGACCTGAGGAAAAAGCGGAAATGAAGAAGAATTAGGCCGCCGACGGCAGGAGCTCGACTGGGTAGAGGAGAGAGAAGGCTTTGAGGCATTATATAAGAACTTTAACGCGCGCCCACATCTGACAGACTCTTGATCGCACGCACGCAAGCTTTTATACACTCGACCCCTAACTTTCATACCATCTCTAAATCAAGCACGAACACGAACCCAAACCCAAGCCGAAACCCCAAACCCATTCCAGTAGCCATTCCCAAAATATAAGCCAGGACCCTCTGACCTTACCTGAACCCGAGAAATCTCAACGCTGGCCCTCATCTCAAGCACTCAACAGAAACCTGAAACTGAATCCCATCCTCAAACAAAACCCTAGATAGTAAAATGAATACCATCACCAAAAGGGCTGTAACATGCGATGATATGCACGCCTTCGCCCGAGAACGCCCAAATATGACAAATTCTTCATCGCCACGTTCGCTGTCAGGCTCAGATTTTATACACTTGACCCGTTTTTCTTCTCACATTCCGCCTGACAACCGACAGCTAAAGGAATAGTTGTCACACAGACTACTGTAACGGCCGAGCAAGGATGCCCGTCAATAAACAAATAGAGACGCACAACGCAGAGGGGGAAGAAACAACTGACCCGTTTAATCGGAGTGAGGACTATCCACCACGATGTGTGGCTTGGAGGAGGGTGACGCTTCGCCCTTCGTCGACACAAACGTACCAATTGCTTTTTCCTGCACAGATGGCGAAAAAAAAAAATCATTGTATGGTTGCGTAAGAAGTGAGGGCTAACGCTAAGGGACTTGTTACCTCCACCAGCTGATGCCAGTGCTCTATTGGCTTGCGTGGATTAGCCAACATGGCGGTCCAGTGCTCCCTCCCCGGGCCGTCAGCATCGCTGCCCACGCGGCACATTCCTATCACCTCGTTATGACCGATGCTGATGGGGGGGAAATAAACAAAAAAAATAAAGAAATAAATCGGCCGTCGTAACTATTGATGCTGGGCGGGTCCACCGGCTCCACGGCAAAGGCTCACCAGTCGTAGTCCATCACGGCGATGACGATGGACACGCTCTCGATGTTCTCGTTGGGAATGTCGAACACCAGTGCCTCGTTGTAGGTTGGATTCAGCGTGTTCTTCTTAATGGATGTCTTCCTCTTCTTCAGCCGGCGACCATCGCAGATCAATGAGGCCTTCACGTAAGGGTCTGATTGGAAGAGAGAGAGAGAGAGACGTTGATTAAAAAAATGTGTTCAGAACGCTACGTGATGTGAAGTCACCTTGGGGAACAGCGGCGGTTGAAAATCAGCAGGTTGATATGCTTTGTTATTCATTCAGCAGCGCGCCGCCATGGGAAACGCACACACCCACGCTGCCGTCTTTTTTTTTTTTTTTTTTTCCGCACTCTATTTCCCGAGCGTCTGTCTGGCAATGTCGACAACACACTGGCGATAACAGTTGCCATCTCGTTTATTCCGGGAGGGCGTTGCGGCTAATGCTAACGCTACTGTTGCCGCCACCATTGCTGCTCCCAGAGCGGCGAGTAATAAAACGGCTGTCAGTCAAAGACGGCGGCGAACAGGTGTCGCTTTTCTTGGACAAAAACAAGCCAGAATGTTCACACTGCTGTCGAGGAGCAAAAACCATGAAACAAAAAAATAAACCTGACCTTTCAAGAACAGAGTCGATCTCCTCTGTGTTTAAAACCAGAAACAGGACCAGCTTTACCAAAGAAAATTAGTCAGGCCTAGTGCTGTCCTTGCCGTGAGAAAAACTGGTGAGGCTCATGTGAGTCCATTACCTGAGAAGACCAAATATTTCCAGGTAGTCCTTCACGTGAGAAACGAGTTAGTCCTTCATCGTTTACGAGAGGAATGACTCAAGGATCGATTTCTCCTTTACAGTCAAACCTCGGTTTTCGAACGTCTCTGTTCTCGACCAAATCGGTTTTCGACCAAAAATTTCGAGTTTTTTATGCCTCGGATTACGACCGAAAATCGGTTCTCGACCAAACTGAGCGCACTTGAATGCGCCACTTGACTCCTCTCGCCTTCCTTACACGAGGAAGTGACGCTTCCTCGTGTAGCGTTCCATTGTGAGCAGACGTGTTCAATAAAGATTTTTTTTTTTTTTTTTTTAAAGAGCATGGTTTCGGTTTTCGAACAAATTGGTTTTTGAACAGCCTTCTGGAATGGATTATGGTCGAAAACCGAGGTATGACTTTTCCTTGAAAAACTGGTCACGATTGAGTCAGTCCATTATCAGACAAAACAAAGTAGTTCCAGGTAATCCTTTACATGAGAAACCGATCAGATACCGTTAGCTAATTTCGCAGTTCTTTACTCAAGTTTGATTCAAAAAAAAACTAGCTAGTACCTAAGAAAACCAGTCAGGTCCAGCTTTGTCATTTTGTGGTCAGTTTTGGTCCTTTGTTGAACAGACTCATCAGTTCCACATTCGTTCTTTTAAGTGTGTGGTAGTCCTATACTTGACAAACCAGTCAGGTCTAACATTAGTCTTGTTAGGTCCACGTTGGTCCTTTACCAGAGAAAACCATATAGTTTCAGATGGTCTTTAACCCAGTGAACCAGTCCAAGTTGGTCTTTTTAGAATGACGTTCAGTATTTACCAGAGAAAACTAATTTCCATGTTAGTTCTTTCAGGCCTGTATTATTGCTTCACCTGAGAAAGCAGTCACATCCAGATCAGTTCTTTGAAAATTACATTACCCCTTCACCTGAGAAACCAGTTAGGTCCATGGCCTTCAGGTTGGTGGCCTTGATGACTGTGGCCGTGAGTCTGCCGGCTGTGGGCAGGTAGCACAGCGAGAAGTTGAGCTCCCCGAGGTCGGCCTTCTCCTGCGGATTCAGGCGGCAGGGAGAAAGAAGGCGGTTAGCGGCTTTCGAGGCGGCCGGGTGATGTTCCGCTGTAAATAAAATCATGCGCCACTCTGTCACTGCCGACCGGAGGCGGCGACTCTTTTCTTTTCATGCCTCGCATCCCTTTCGGATCGATACTTCTTCCGGGAGACTGCAGTTATTTAATAAATCAGACTTCCATGAGTTGTCTCGTATGAATATTTCATTTGTAATAGACTGGCCGCCCTTTTTTTCTCATTCGGAGTCTGCATGCGTCTTGTCGTTGTTCAGCCGGCCAATCAGATATGGGGCAGCGTGTGCACCGCTCATCAAAAGTAACTTTGAAGGCACACGCCAGAACGGCAAACGGTTAGAGGGCTCAACGACTTAACGTCAACCGCCAATCAGTATTCAATACGCGAACGTGAAATGTGCCTTTTGGAAAAGAAGCAAGTAGACGCAACGTAAACGGTGAGCTGTTCACGAAAGACATTTATTGATCAGGCACCGCTCTGGCCTAAATTGGTTGTTCGATATGGTCTCACTCTGGTTTAACCAGTGCAATGTGAATGCTACATTCAAAAGGTAAGGCCCTTTTCATTTTTTTTTAAGTGTACATGAGTCTTAGACTCATGTACGACGCCCTCACAGTGCAGAGGTCGTGGGTCCGATCCCGGCTCTGGACCACACTGACTGTTTGGAATTTGCATGTTCTCCCCGTGCCTGCGTGGGTTTTCTCCGGGTACTCTGGTTTCCTCCCACATTCCAAAAACATGCACGGCAGACTGATTGGACAGTCTAAATCACAGGTTTCAAACTCAAGGCCCGGGGGCCAGATCTGGCCCTCCATGCCATTTTATGTGGCCCGCGAAAGCAAATCAAACACGTCAACTTCTACGATGATTGCTAAAATCTGTACCAAAATTTCAACTTCTCATATATAATAAATAAGCGAGATATGGTCAGCATTTTCTTGTGACCAAATCCCTCATTACACTAATTTAAACAATCGTTGAGTGAACCATTATTCTTGACTTCATTATATGTTTTTATAGTCATAACGGCCCTCCATGGGAAACGGTCACTACGATGTGGCCCGCGACATAAATGTGTTTGACGCCCCTGCACTAAATTGTCCATAAATAAGTGTGAGTGTCAGCGCGGATGGTTGTTCATCTCTATATGCCCTGCGATTGGCTGGCAACCGGTTCAGGGTGTCCCCCGCCTACTGCCCAAAGACAGCTGGGGTAGGCTCCACCACCCCCCGCGACCCTCGTGTGGAAATGAAAAAAATAAGCTCCACATTAGTTTTTTTAGGTTAGGAATTTATCTGAGAAACCAGTTATGTCCATTTTAGGTCTTTTAGGTCTATGTTAGTCCACTCGGATTTGTCTCATTAGCCACATTATGAGCTTTACGTTACTCCTTTAAGATACCGGTCACGCCTCAACAAATGACCTTTGGATTCAGTTCAGGCTTACCCGGCGCAGTGGTTATAATTCAGTTTGCCTTAGGCTTAGCTTGGAAATGGACCAGAACCAAAATTGAGGCCTGTTTTAAGACGCATGCTTTTTAATGCACGGCAACAAAATGAACTTGCAAAATGTACGCAAAGAGAACTGAATCAAGGTTCGTTTACTTTTGACGTGATTTTCCTCAAATTTGACCAACCGTGGTGACTCACCGCGGTGCCTTCCACGATGTCCCTCCACACTGGTTTGTCTCCGCTGCCCTCGCTGAAGTCCAGCAGGTTGTCCACAACCACCTGCCCAATCAGGTCGTGGCGGGAGAAGCGGTCAAAGTCGTAGACGGAGAAGTGAAGCTTGCGGGAGTGGAGCTCGTTCAGAGGCACGCCGAACTGGAACGTCTCATTGAACACGGGGTTCAGCGTCTTTCTGTGCACCTACAGACCGTAAATCGCAAGCAAGTCATTCATGTCTTTTGTCGTTGCTTTTTGTGCTTTCTTTTCAGCTTCAGGATCACCAACCAAGTTCCAAAAGGTCATTTTGCAGCTCTTTTATCCCTCTTCAAGCGCCAATAGGTGTTGTTACGTTCTTCCGTCTTTGATTATTCTGCTCTTCTTTCTTCTTTTCCTCCAGCCGGGTTCCCCCACTAAGTCTTGCTATGCATCGTTGTCATTTTTATCAACACTTTTTGCTCTCTCGTTTCTCCGTCCTGATGGTTCCAAAAGGTCTTATTGTTGTCTTTGGTTATTACCTGTCGTCGTTTCTTCCCCACTAATGTTTAGCACCCGGTTGTCCAACAAAGTGCCCAAGTGCCACTTTTCGCCAGGTCTTATTGGTTTTTTTTTTTTTATTGCTTTTTTTTTCCACTTTCTTTCTTTACCACAACCACTTTCCGAAATTTGTTGTTATTCACTTTTTTTCTGCTTTGTGCGTGCTTTTTTTTTAACCTCCTTGTTTATCAATCACTTACCCCAATCAGGTACTAGCAGCTGCCACTGATGCTGTTGTCATCGGTCATTTTGTTCTCTCTTTCCTTTATGTACTCCCTCCTCTCAAACCTTGTACCATCTCTCCTTGCCCATGAAAAATGGGATACCTACGCACTGGGGACTGGCACAATTGCCTGGTTTCCACAGAAGCTATTAATTCCCGTGACACATTCGCTGATTCTCGCTTCTTATCTGGCCGCCTCTCCCGCTGTTATCCCATCATCGCCGCTTAACGCTACGCATGTTTCATTCCCACATTTCCGGCCCACCAAGCCGGCACATTTCGTAAACCGCCTAAAACAAAAACAAAAAAGAAAAAGGGCCCCACACATACTCGAAATCGACACGCCTCTTGGTTAATTGCAAGGTCGTACTCACTGAAACGTCCTTGAGAAAGAAGCGCAACCTTTATGCTCGGCCGTAGAGCGCAAAATTGAATTCCGCAGAGGCAGAAAATTCAACTGACCTTCATTAAAAATTTCCTATCTGGTCTCACAAAAATATGTCGTTTTGTGTTTGCGCCGCAGACATGGAAAGATGCTAAAACGAGCACATTGACTTCATCCCTCTGTACAGTTTGCTGATTCACCGCAGGAATCGAAGCGTTTGATGGAATGAACAAAGACGGCAACAAGGCGTTGGTTTGCGATGCTTGCTCAGTCGTTTAAATCCAACTTGAGAGGATCTGTCACTCCCGCTTATTATTAGCGCCCCGTCATCTCCTGTTAGCAGCGCAAGCTAGCGCGAAGCGGAAGTAGCGGGCTGCGTGTTGCTTCGACGCGTACAGTAGCGATGGTTCAACATCACTTAGATTCCAGATCACAAAATTCCTTGTTTTCAGTGTCTACTGCAACCTAGCTTGCCAGTAATTTAGTAGGGCCTGATTTGATTCTGCGCCGTTGCTTCAAAATAGACAACCAACCACTGCTCCCAAAACCCAGATTCACTCTTCACAGCGACCCGTTTAGGCAGCAATATAGTCAGAAGAGAAACAATGATCCTCTGCTGCTTGTATTTTGGTTATATAGCCATATAACCAAAATTCCAATTTCCATTTATACAGCAGCCTGTTCAAGCAGCCAATTGCTTAGCATCCAGTAATCCCAAAAGATCACCTTGTTGATGCTAACGAATTCCACATGACAAAATTCCTGTTTAGATCATCAACAGCAGCTCTTGGAGGCAGCAAACTTCGGTCAGGTGAGCCTACCTTAGTTTGGAACTTCTTCTTGCGGTCGGGCAGCAGGTAGATCTTGACGTAAGGGTCGGAAAAACCGTTGGCATCCTTGGCGGGCAAATCCAATGCCTTGAGGATCTTCACCACTAGCTGTTCCGTGCTGACACACACACACACACACACACACACACACACACACACACACACACAC